CGTGCAAGAGCCTGTTGAGCCCTGACTGGGTACCGGGAAGGTGCCGGCTGAGCAGCGAGGAGCCGAGTGGGGGTGCCCTGCTATGGCTGCTGGCGAGGCCCCTCGTGTGGCTGCTGCGCGCCGGTCCTGGGTCTGCTGCTGGCTGCTCGTGACATGCGGCCCCTCCCCAGCCTCTCAGAGCAGCGTCCTCTGCCATCAGATGAGCTGGTTGAGCCAGAATTTTTAGCTCCAATGGTCCCTTTGTGGATTGTGAAACCACAGCTTTTCCGGGGGAAAGAGCATTTACCCAGAGTTCCCTTAGGTAAGGCTGTAAACGTGGGACTTTACGATTGGCAGGAATTTTCCAGAAGGATGCCTGTCGGACACCAGTTACAAAGGACTAGAGGCCCGATGCACGAAATCCCTGCAGGGGGGTTGGCCCTCGCAGCTGTGGCTTCTTTCGGAAGGACGTCCAGAAGGTCATTCGGCTGTCTAGTCTAATTAGCATATTAGCTTTTATTATTATAGATCATTCGTGGCCCTGGCTGAGTGACTGAGCTGGTTGGAGTGCCGTCCCGTACACCAAAAGGTTGCAGGTTCAGTCCCAGTCGGGGAGCATGCAGGAAGCAACTGATCTATGCTCTCTCTCTCACATCGATGTTTCTCTCTCTTTCTCTCTCTCTCTCTCTCTCTCTCTCTCTCTCTCTCTCTCTCTCTCTCTCTCTCTCACCTGCTCCCTCTAAAATCAATAAAAATATATCCTTGGTGAGGGCTAAACAACAACAACCCCAAAACACAAAGTATCACGTGTGTTCCAGCACCAGCATGGTCTGCGTGTGAGTCTTTGTGCCCTTTCATCTTAATAATTAAAAAAGAAAAAAGGAATCGCTTCCAAGGCTGTACAGGATGGTTGGTGTGTGGCCAAGTAGGAGAAGGGTCTTGTCTCGTGAGTCTTGCCTTTAAAACCGTGGGTTTGTGGTCACTGCCAAGTAAAGAAATGGGGTCTGGCCCTAACCGGTTTGGCTCAGTGGATGGAGCGTTGGCCTGTGGGCTGAAAGGTCCCAGGTTCAATTCTGGTCAAGAGCATGTACCTTGGTTGCGGGCACATTCCCAGTAGGGAGTATGCAGGAGGCAACTGATTGATGTTTCTCTCTCATCGATGTTTATAACTCTCTATCCCTCTCCCTTCCTCTCTGTAAAAACTCAATAAAATATATTAAAAATAAAAAAAGAAAGAAAGAAAGAAAGAAAGAAAGAAAGAAAGAAAGAAAGAAAGAAATGGGGTGGGCTGGGATGGGGAGGAAGAAAGAGGAGACAGTGAGCTATTGGAACATGGCCAGGTTCGAGGAGTTAAGGTTTCTTGTGTTGTCCTTCGACTGTCACCTGTAATGGGGTCTAGAACCTTCTCCTGAGGCCGAGGGGGAGACCCCAGGACGGGAGACCCCAGCATGCACACTGGGGGCACACCGGTTCACTCCAGCCCTCAGATGTTCACAAAGTTCAGAATTCGTGTCCAGCATTCAAAAGCCAGGGAATCTCATCTAAGAATGCAGACCCCTGGCCTCTCGCGAGAAGGCACACCCCGAGGGCCACGGGGCTTCTCCTCGGTGGAGCAGGGTGTGCCGAGTGGTGGCTGCCCCCAGACACAGCCCTGGTCTAGCCGCTCACCGACATTGAGGGAAGAAAGAGAGCTTTCCTGCAACCTGACCCCTTTGTTCTACGATGAGGAAACTGAGTCCCAGGCAGACCAAGAGGTGGCTTGCTGGGGTGAAGTTGGGTCCCATGCTCCCCCAAGTCTTGGAGCAGTGCGCAGGCCTGGCACCTGCCAGCAGGTGGCAGTGTGGTGCCGCCTGGCCTCATGTCTCCTCCTTTCCCCTGAGCCCTTGTGTTCTCTGTCTTCCTCTGGTTTTGCCAGTTTTCTCTCACTAAGTTTTCCTGTTAGCATGGCTCTCTCGTTCTCTTTTTCCATTCTTCCCTCTCCCCCGATGTTTCCCCCAGGATCCCCTGGGGCCTGGGTGGCTGTTTAGGACACTGTCCGCTGAGACCTCCTTCTTCCCACTCTGCTCCCTTGCAGCTAGCTACACAGCTCTCTGCTCTCCAGCGCGCAGACCGCAAGCCCAGAGACCCCATGGAGCTACCACACCCCACCTGGGACGGCCACCACCCAGGGCGTGTAACTGTGTGGCCTTGGGGGCCAGGGGTCTGTCTTTTTACACAAGAGACTCGGGTTTTTAAGTGTCGGACACTAATTTAGAGCTGCTGTTTCTGCCGTGTCTTGGGCATCTGGCAAGCTTCACGAAGCTGGCATGTCACCTGGGCATCAGTGCAAATCGTCAGATGGAGGGCCTTCTTCTAGCCCTCCCTGATGGTGAGGGTCTAGTCCGAGTCGGGCAGAGAGTGGACACAGCCCCAGTGGGCACCCAGCAGGCCCAGCACCCTCTCCCACCTCCGGGCAGCCCTGCAGAAAGCTCTCACTCTTGGGTAGGAGGATCCGCTCCAAACGTTCTGCCTGGGAGAAAGCCTAGGGAGGGGCATAGCTCAAAGAGGTGAAGAGACCCACTATGTGCTGCTCCCAAGGTAGTGCCATATGCAGAGGGGGCCTTGGGTCAGATCAGTGTTTGCTGAGTGGTCGAGGGGACTCTCACTTTGCACTGGACTTCCCTCCATGCTGGACGAAGGCCAAGGGTGATTCTGCCGGGGGCCTGGGGAGACCTTGACACTTCGTAATTCCACTTTCACCCACTGAAGGCCGGTGGGCGCCCATCCTGGACAGGGGGCTGACAGATCAGACCCGTCACCCTTTGCTGACTCCTTCTCCCTTTGTTCCATGACTCATCCAACACTCGCCGACACTCTTGCCCGGCACAGCGCTAAGGGCTGGATGTCAGGTGTGTGATCCACAACTCTCCCTCCCAAGGGGCTCACGCTCGGTGGAGGAGAGACCGTAGGACACCCAACATGGCAGTGCAATCATGTACCCAGTCAGTCGCCGGAGGACAGAGGGCAAGGGCAGCTTGGAATACAGGGTGACATTGGAGCGATACTTGGGGATGGAGTTTGCTGAGCGGTGAAGGGCATTCTAGGCAGCCAGAACAGCTGGCGCAGAAACCAAGATGTCTGCAAAACTGTGTTTGGGGAACGGTGAGGAGTTGGTGTGGGCTCACAGAAGCGGTGTTGGAGAAAATAGCGGAAGCTGAGCTGGAGAGGGAAGGCTGTTTGGGTATTGACTTGGCTGCTTTAACAGACTGATGTACAGTAGATGTTTCTTCCTTCCTCTCTGAAAAAGCCAGGTGGGAAGTAAAAAAAAAAAAAAAAAAAAAAAAAAAAAATCAGTTAAAAAAAAGAAAAAGAAAGAATTGACCCCATTGTATTCTTCTCTTGTGAGTGGCTTTTCTCATCGAAGGCTCATTTCTAGCCCAGTGAGCTCTTCTCTCTGGTCCAGCTGTGTGTGCCGTGGGCACCTTAATTTTTCTGGGTTAACAAAACCACCGCTGCTCACATGGGTCATTTACCGTCATGGGTCCCCAATACTTCCTGTGCAATGGGCCGATACAGTGATGGATGCCAGAATCAGTTGATAGCTACCCATTAGCATTTAATTCATTCCTCCGGGGGTCGAGAGGGGTTGGGCATTGTGTAAGGCTGGTTGTGGGAACATCTTGAGGTTGTTGCCCTGTTTATAATTTAATGAAAGGCCTGCATGCATATGCTTCGCATGGACTGAATCACCGTCCTAGGCAGTATCTCGCAGCCACTGAGCACAGTCAGGGCCAGGAAAGTGGGGTGGATGGAGGACAACCCTGAATGGGATGTGTTGATGGGAGGTGTTGAGTGTGATGGTGCGATGAATGTGGGATGTTGGCCACCTCACAGGGAGATGAGTCAGGTATTAAAATGCCTGGAAGAAGACAGAACTTCCTAAGTGCAGTGACGGGCGTTCTGACAAAATGCTGTGGATACAATGGTCCCGTGGTATCTGTGGGAGATCGATTCCGGGACCCCCTCAGATACCAAAGTCCAGAGGTGCTCACGTCCCTTATAGGAAATGAAGTCGTACTTGCGGATAACCTACTCACATCCTCCCGTATACTTTTAAGTCATCCCTAGATTACTTATAATACCTAATACCCAATACAGTATAAATGCTATGGAGATACTTGCTATTCTCTGTTGTTTAGGGAATAATGATAAGGTGGGAAAAGGCCATGCCTGTTCAGTACAGATGCAACCTTTGTAGGCCTAACCACAGAGTACTCATCAGCAACAGTATAACTAGCCTCCCCTACCCCCCCACCCCCCACCCCAAATATTTTCCATTGTGGTTGGCTGAACCTGTGGCTGTGGAGGGCTGGTTGTATTGAAGCGGGAAGACAGGTGGATTCCGCCCACAGTGCTCAGAGCACCAGGGTGCCAGAGGAGAGGTGGTATTGGAGCAATGCCTCGATGGAGAGCCAGCTGGTGCTCTCCTGGTGGGAAGGCCCCTGGTGGGCAGGCCCTTGGCTGTTGCAGGGACCAATTGTGTCTCCTGTGTCTCTGGTACCCAGGACATGTTTGGATGGATGCATGGAAGGAAATGTAGGTGGGGGAACATATGAATGAATGAATGAATGAATGAAGTGAAAGCAAGACCCTATGTGGAGGGGATAGCTTGAATGGTAAGAGAGCAGCAGAAAGAAGGTAGGCATCTTGGTGAAATTATAGCCGGTTTGGCTTAAGCTAGGAGTGATGGAGAGAGGGTGGCCAGAGGAAGGCTTGGAAAGAAAGACTTGGCCCAGACGCTGAAGGCACGGGATTTTGCCTTTTCTTCGCAGGAAGTGGGCCGCTGAGGGGCAGGAAATGTGCACATTCTAGGTTGTGAGAGCGGGATGTGGAGTTGATAAAGACCCTGGATGTGGCCTTGTCTGGCCACTCCGTGTTGGGGGAAATGGCCAGAGGGACCTGCTCTAAGCCGCCGGGTTAGCTAACGAGCAGCAGCGGGGACCTCCCCAGGTCTGGCTCTCACGTCTCCGTCTTCCCTCCAGACGTGTGCAACAGCACCGACCTGCCGGAAGTCGAGATCATCAGCCTGCTGGAGGAGCAGCTGCCCCACTACAAGCTGAGGGCCGACACCATCTACGGCTATGACCACGACGACTGGCTCCACACCCCCCTCCTCTCCCCAGACGCCAACATTGACCTCACCACCGAGCAAATCGAGGAGACGCTGAAGTACTTCCGTAAGTCCATCCGCGCGCGGGCCACCAGGACGACCGGTTCTTCTCAGCCTTTCCTTTTTCTTTCTTTCTTTCTTTCCTTTTTTTTAAAGTTAATCCTCACGCAAGGATATTTTCCCACTGATTTTTAGAGAGAGTGGTAGGGATGGGGAGAGACAGGGAGAGTAAAACACGGATGTGAGAGACATCAACTGGTTGCCTCCCGCATGCACCCTGACCTGGGCCGGGAATGAGTCTGCGACCGAGGTATAGGCCCTTGCCTGGAATCAAACCCACGACCCTTCAGTCTGTGGGCCCATGCTCTATCCACTGAGCCAAACTGGCCCGGATCAAATTTCCAATGAAGAGAACCGACTTTCTCTTAACTGTACAGAAGAATTTGAAAATGCTCCCATTGCCTGTCCAAACCAAAAGTACCACGTGAGTCTTTAGAAACTCCTACTGGGAGGGAGTGTGGCAGGCAGCATTTACACCCAAGATCTGGGGAACATCTTGGCCACTCCGTACTTCTATGGCGCAAGGCTGATGGTTTCCATGTCAGAAGCCGGTGCCTCAGGAGACCCACAATGCTCTGCGGGGGCTGCAGAGCCCCGCCTGGGAGGGTGGGCAGCACACTAGGTGTGAGCAAGCTCTGGGACCCCCAGAGGGTCTGGAGAGCCAGAGGAGAGGTTCGGCAAACTTATAAAGGAAAAGGGTACATCGTCAGCTTCATTAGCGTCTAACTGAAATGCAGCGTTTCCTTCCATTATGAGCGTGGAAAACGGCACGAAGGTATTAGCAGAACCTGTGACTTTGCCACCGGCAGGAATCACAGATGTTTTCCTGTCGTGCTGAGGGAGAAGCTGACCCCTTGAATGACCTCCTTACTCAGTCATTGCTCTGAAAACACCTTTGTCGTTCGATGTTGTCATTTCTTGGGCTGACGAAGAAGCATTTCAGTCACAGGCTTTCTTCCCGGGGGGGCACAGGCCAGCCGTGCTGTGTGTGTGGTGGCTGTTCGGGGTTTGTCTGTTTACTCGTGGGTAACCGGGGAGATGCCCTGACTCACAGCCCTGTGACTCACAGGTGTGTGAAGTCACGGGAGAGGTGTGTGAGAAGACAGCAGCACCCTTCCTTCCGCTGAGATTTTTTCTGCACTGATCGGGGCCGTGGCTCTATGTGGTGGGTGTGAGTGGCGATGGGGGTGCTCCAGGGGGTTCTAGTAGCTTCCCCAGGTCTGGACCCCTGATGAACCAGTCACCTAAGCTGTTTCTACACACATCAGAGCAGGATAAAACTCAGCTCCCTTCCCTACCTGCCATCTCCCAGAGGGGAGAAACCACACTTTGCCTTTGACATCTGGCCCTCCCTTGCCTGGCTTGTTGAGAAGAAGCAAGAAGCTTTGGGTGTCCACCTGACCACCGGTGGAATGGCCTTTATAGAAAGATTTCAACACTTCCACAGGCAGGTGGATTTTTTGGCTCCTAATGAGTCTGTGACACACAGAAGGTGAACATGACCCAGAGAACAAATGTGCCCAGAGAGATGGGCGGTTAGAGTGAGACGATCCAACAGGAAGTAAAAATGAGTCAGCGTTCAGTGCTTACTGTAGGCCAGGCTCTGTTTTTAATGCTTTACGTGTCGCTCGGTCAATCCTCACAGTGGCCTTGGTTTAAGTAGTCTCGCTGCCCCCATTCCACAGATGGGGAGACTGAGGCTCTTGCTCAGTCACCCAGCAAGGCGGGTGCTGAGCTTCAAACCTAGGTTGACTGGTTTGACTCCGTCTCTTAACCACTCTCAAAGTAGCTAAACAAGAAAAAAAAATTCTAGATTAAGCATAAAGCTCATTTGGTAAAAGTGGAAAAAACACACCCTCAGTTTCTGAATATGTCAGCAGCTTATTCATTTATAAAATATATATCCAACAGAGTCACATTTATTTTTTAAATATTTTTTTTATTGATGTTTGAGATGGAGGGAGAGGGATAGAGAGATAGAAACATCGATGAGAGAGAAACATCGATCGGCCCTACTGGCAATCGAGGGCATGTGCCCTGGCCAGAAATCAAACCCGTGACCTCTTGCTTCATAGGTCAACGCTCCACCCCTAAGCGAGACAGGCCGGGCCGAAATTTACTTTTTATTCAAGGTCACTGTTCCAAGGGAAGCCCAGCCTGACGTAGCTTGCATTCACAGGGAGGTTTCCTCCTTTTCTGAGACGTTTGCCTCCCTCGTGTGGTCTGTAGGCCACGTTCCCCTGACCTCAGGTGGGCAGGACGCTGTGCTGTAGACCTTCAGTCATGTGACATTCAGCAGATAGCAGGCATGAAGGTCACCGTGTTGATATATAAGTGTCTGAGGCTCTTTCTGGTTCCTCTTTCCATGGGCCACGCTATATAAGTTTTGTCCGAGGAACATGGATCTAGAAAATAAATTTCTCTATGTCTCAGGTGTGGATGATCTGCCGACCGCTCACCTCTGAGAGGACTCAAACAGTTCTTTTCCTAAGGAGAGGAGAAGGTTATGAAGCAAACAAGGGTTTTGAGACATCATTGCGTTGTTTGCTTTCGACGGGATGAATCAGTCAAGTATTTATCGAGTGCCTGGGTGCACCCGTAATCTTTGGTGGACTTGATTTGTTTGAGTTCCAGCTGAGGTTTTCTGGCGAAGGAAGTGAAATCGTTTCCTGGACTATTGACTTTCATTTCTTACCTAACCAGGGACTTTGCACCGGGTTGGGTCAACGTAGGAAGGTCTCTGGGCCTTTGTTAGAAGTTTGTACCTTTCACCCACTTTCCTCCAACTCGCCCTCTCTACCCTCTGCCTCTGATAACCATGGGTCTGATTTCTTTTTCTATGAGTTTGGTTTTAAATTCCCCCTTCCCCCCCCAATATAAAGGAAATCGTAGTAGTATTTGTTTTTCTCTGTCTGACTTATTTCACTTAGCATAATGCCCTCAAGGTCTAGCCGTGTTGCTGGAAATGGTGGGACTGCCTAATTTTTTATGGCTGAATAATGTTCCATTACACACCACACCACACACACACACACACACACACACACTACAACTTCACCCATTCATCCATCAGTGTCTGTTTCTGATTTTCAGAGTACTACTTTATGGATTGATGAAGCCTACCCCATATCTCAGTCTTAGTGCTTGGCCTTTTAATAAACATGATTTTTAAAGGAGTTAGGTTTTAAAAATAACATATCTTCTGATCATACCAGCACACTGATTGTAGGTAACTTGGAAAGTAACGACAAAAAGATGACTAATTTAGTAACCACTACTTACATTTTTTTGAGATTTTTTTTGTTGCTTTTTCCTCTCTAACAAACATATTACATATTTGGGAACATAGGCTTTTTTTTTTTTTTTTTTTACTTAACCGTGTATTTTGACCATTTCCCCGTGGCATTTAAATTCTTGAAAATCACAATTGCTTAATATTCCATCATTTATATCTAACCATTTGGTCTATTACAATGAACCTCAGTTGTTTCTAATTTTTTGTCAATAACACATACGTGAGCATCCTCCTATATATGCATCTGTCCACCCAACTCATGATTTCTTTAAGGTATATTTCTAGAATTGGCTTACTGGGATTGAAGAGGTGACAATTTATAAGTCTCTTTGATCTGTATTAATAATATATAACTTAGGCAGTGATCACCCCTGACCAACGTAGTACCCACCTGGTACCATTCATAGTTATTACAATGTTATTGACTGTGTAATTAGAAATTAGAAACAACTGTGTCCCCAATGCTGTACTTGACATCCCCGTGACATGGAATTAAGTACAAATTGTCACCAAGGCTCTGACCTTGAAGAACAGGATCAAAGGCAGGGGAGCTGGTGAAGGGTCTGCTTCACTGAGGGCAACGAGACTAACGGGGATTTGAGAAGAGGCCACATCCAACACTGAGAAGCTGCTGGTGAGCTGGACTGAAGACCAGCCATAGGAGTGCATCCCTCTCAGCACCAGGACGGTCACAGCCTCAGGAAATGTCTGTGCGAAGCGATGGAAGAGGCTGGGCACGACTGCAGTGTTGAATGGACTGCTTTTAGCCGCACAGATGTCTGCAGAGCCCAACGTGGGAGCAGAGAAGCCCTGACTGCACAGTCATTTCCCACATGTGAGCCACACCTGGTCACGGTGCCACATGTGGTCATGATGCCTCATGAGGTTGTGGTACCTCATGAGGTCATGGTGCCTCATGTAGTCATGATGCCCTATATGGTCCTGGTGTCCCACGTGGTCATGATGCCACACGTGGTCATGTGCCTCACGTGGTCACGGCACCTCATGTGGGCATGGTGCTCACTTTGCCATGGTGCCACACGTGGCCATGGTGCCACACATGGCTATAGTGCCACACGTGGCCATGGTGCCACACATGGCTATGGTGCCACACGTAGTCATGGTGCCACACATGGCTATAGTGCCACACGTAGCCATGGTGCCACACGTAGCCATAGTGCCACACGTGGCCATGGTGCCACACGTGGCTATGGTGCCACACGTAGTCATGGTGCCAGATTTACCCAGTGGTAACTAGACTTACTTCATCACTTGCCACCTGGAAGCTTTCATTCTTTCTCATTAGACCAGATTTCAACGTTAATTTTTTTCGCTTCCTTTTAAAAACAAAAATGCTTGGCAAGCGATTCCGTATAGATTGACCGTTTTCCTTTTCATGTTCATCCAGCATCTTTAAGACAAAGCTGGAACGGGCCCAGCTGGGAAGTTGGCATGACGGCTCAGCTTGCACCCCGTCTACTGCTCCTGGGCACGGGGCTCAGGCCACCGCCGTCCAGAGTCACAGCAGGCGCATGACCGGGGACCCTTGGGGTTGGTGTTTGGGAGCCCGTGACATCTGCCACGTGACCTGCGGGTCCCGGGAGGGAGGGGCCCACGTGGCCCTCCCAGGCTGCAGGCAGCGGACCTGGGTGTGCGGCACGTCCGAACCCCGTTCCTTCTCTGCCCCTTCTCCGGCACGGTGGTTTTAGTAA